AAACCATTGACGTAGCCAGAGAACCGGGGTCGAAAACACGTGGAGAGCATTATATCAACCAGAAATATGGACGTCATAGTTTTTCTGTTGGTATAAACGTGGTATATTCGACCGTTTCAACTATAATTTAGGTGTCATATATCATCAAGAAAATAATACACTTTTATAAAGACAACGCACGAAAGCCTTACGTGCATATCCGTTATAGAGAAATGCCATGAATTTCGCTACAAATTACTTTGACACCCAGCATATTCATCAGTTCCAGCGACCAGTACCAAACTTAAAAAAATGTTTGACCATCTAATCGACGACAGTATCAAATTTTGTAAATAATATGGAAAAAATATAAGAGCTATTATTCGTAGTGATATAACAGTCAGCCTAATTTTTAGCATCGGGACTTGATTTATAAATTTTTATTATAGCATTTTATAAAGTGAACTTTTCTTTCTCTTTTTCTAATACATTGTTGTTGTTGCTGTTGAAAAATTTTGGTACATCTAGGGGAGTTTAACAACTTAAAAATTGATCGTCCAAACTGATCGGGGTGTTTACAGGCTATAAAACTTATGTGTCTGTAATCAACTGCCATAAACAAACTGTAACTCATCCTATATTATAAAATATGTATAATTTTATATCATTTTTGTCTGATGTCTTAAAATGTATAAACTTTAAATATTATATTCTTTTTAGGTATAACCGGATTTTGGAACTTATTTTTGAATTTATAACAGTCATCATTCCTACAAAAATTAAGAAAATAAGAGCAACTAAAAAAGCCGCGACTGAACCGCCAACCACATCTCGACAGAGTAAAATGCAACGACCAAGTTCCAATGGGACGACAGGGCAAAAGCACGCCAATCTCGATGACATATGGATTGATCTTGAGCAAGGTATTATACAGGTATTCCAGCCAGAGAAATCGTTGACAAAAAATCGTTATATGCAACTGTATACTTATGTCTATAATTATTGTACAAGCGTTAATTCATCATTGAATAATCGTAATACACACAAGTCGGGTGGGGCTCAATTGGTTGGTAAAAAGCTATACGATCGTCTTAAGGACTTTTTGAAGAATTACTTAAATGGCCTTCTACAAAATTTTGTATCTATAAAAGGTGAAGAGGTGCTTCTATCACACTATACAAAGCAATGGGTAGCGTATCAATTTTCGAGTACTGTACTGAATGGTATTTGTTCCTATCTAAATAGACATTGGGTGAAACGTGAGTGTGAGGAGGGACAGAAAGGCATTTATGAAGTATATCGTTTAGCATTAGTTACGTGGAAAGAACATTTGTTTAAAGTGCTTAATGAGCCAGTCACTAATGCTGTTCTTAAGTCCATTGAAGAGGAACGTAACGGCAAAACTATTAATCGCGGTCTTATAAGAAGTATTATTAATTGTTATGTAGAGCTTGGATTTAATGAAGACGATGGGGGATTACCCCTTAAAGAACAAAGAGACAATAAACTCTCAGTATATAAAGACAATTTCGAAAAAAAATTTATACTCGAAACTACAGCTTATTACGAACAGGAATCAGATGTGTACCTTAGCACTAATTCAGTGACGGAATATATGAAGCATGTCGAACAACGTTTAGCTGAGGAGCGTCGCAGAGTTAATCGGGATGATTTCAATTGCTTGCTAACTTCATATTTGCATGAAAGTACCCATGATGATCTTGTAATTGCTTGCGAACAGGTCAGTATTAATTGCTAAGTATTAATTGTGTACAGCACATACAGCTATTTATTTCTTTCCAAATATATTCTAAAATATTGTATTAATTTTTTTATTTTAGGTGCTTATTGTAAAGCATTTGGATATATTCCGCTCTGAGTTTCAAAATTTGCTAAACACTGATAAAAACGATGATTTAAAACGCATGTATTCATTAGTAGCAAGAACTCCCAAAAACCTAACCGAACTTAAGTCAATATTAGAAGAGCACATTTTACAGCAGGGTATTCAAGCCATTGAAAAATGTGGCAATAATGAAGCTGCAAACGATCCAAAAGTGTATGTACAAGCAATACTTGAGGTGCACAAAAAGTTTAATGCACTCGTTTTAACTGCTTTCAATAATGACAATGGATTTGTAGCAGCACTGGACAAAGCTTGCGGTAAATTCATAAATTCAAATGTGGTAACTCAAGCTAACAGTGCCAGTAAATCGCCAGAACTGCTTGCCAGATATTGTGACTTGTTACTTAAAAAGTCATCGAAAAATCCTGAAGAAAAAGAATTAGAAGATAATCTTAATCAGGTTATGGTTATTTTCAAATATATTGAAGACAAGGATGTTTTCCAGAAGTTTTACTCAAAAATGCTTGCCAAACGTCTTGTTAATCATACATCTGCATCAGATGATGCAGAGGCAATTATGATCTCCAAATTGAAACAAGCTTGTGGTTATGAATATACCATAAAATTGCAGCGTATGTTCCAAGATATTGGTCTATCAAAAGACTTAAACAATAATTTTAAGGAGCAACTACGTAAGACACAGATTTTGCAAGAAATAGACTTTAGTATTGAAGTGCTGTCATCTGGATCATGGCCATTTAATCAAGGGAGCAGCTTTTCATTACCCACCGAATTGGAGAGTTCGGTTAAACATTTTAACGAGTTTTACGCAACAAGGCATTCTGGACGTAAATTAAATTGGTTGTATCATATGTGCAAGGGAGAATTAGTAACGAATTGTTTTCGCAATAAATACACTCTGCAAGCAAGCACATTTCAGATGGCAGTTTTATTGCAATTCAATGATCAGACAAAGTTTTCTGTACAGCAATTAGCCGAAAATACTCAAATTCAAATGGATAATTTAGTGCAGGTGCGTACCTAGTAAACAATTATTATAGTAAATTTTTTTTATTAAAAACCTTTTGTTTTGCTTTTGCTTTTACTGCGGTAGGTTCTACAAATATTGCTTAAAGTAAAACTGCTAACCTCTCCAGATGATGAAAATTCCCTCACACCAAATTCAATGATGGAGCTGTTCTTAGATTATAAAAACAAAAAACTGCGTATAAATATTAATCAACCGCTAAAGACTGAGCTTAAGGTCGAACAGGAGGCCGTACATAAGCACATCGAAGAGGATCGCAAGCTTCTCATTCAAGCTGCTATTGTTCGAATAATGAAAATGCGTAAAAAACTCAATCACACGCAGCTCATCACTGAAGTACTAAACCAACTGTCATCACGTTTTAAGCCTAAAGTGCCAGTTATTAAAAAGTGCATTGATATTCTTATTGAAAAGGAATACTTGGAGAGAATGGAGGGTCAAAAGGACACATACAGTTATTTGGCGTAAAATATATGAACGAGACTGTGAATAGATATTTAGCATAAAATTCAAGAATAAGTTTAGAAGTGTTTGCAGTATGTATGTAAAATTAAAAGAAAAATATATTTATTATTAACCTTAAATAAAACATATATATATATATACCTATATATATACATTATATACGACAAATTTCCAGCGCAATGTTAAACATATTTCATAATAATTTATTGATGCAAACAACTTCATAAACACATACATGATTGTTCTAAGCTTCACCTACATATATTTTTAGGCTCTTTGTAATTTAATTGAACATTTAGTATACTACATGAATATTATTTACAAAAAATTGTTTGATTAAAAACTTTATTTTACTATGTTTTTTCCCAATGCATCCAAATAATTAAAACAAAAAACGAAAAAACAAATAAAAAGGTAAAATAGAAAAATAAATTGAATAGTTTTTGTGTTAAGCATGCATTAAAATCAAAATAAAATTTAATGGAAATTGTTTACAAAATTAAAATTGAATATAGTTTATGTGTTAAAAACAACAAAAAAAAATATTTTTTTCCAAAAGTTTAAGTGTTGACTTATTGATAAAAGCCCAAGATATAAACTGAGCGTTCACAATAAAGTTTTCGTATACTAAGTAATTATAGCACCAATCTAGACATATGGAACACAGTTGTGAGGCACAACTAGTCACTTTTTTTTTTTTAAATTAGATCATTTTCATTAAATCCTAACAATAAGTTTCAGAATCTTAAAAAGGAACATTACAAATTAATTTATATATACATATAAAAATTATTTGTAAATTATTTTAAATAGGATAATCTTCAGGAGAGCAGGACGGCAGGTCTATTATTGCGTTTCAGACTAAAGGAATTTATCAAAATAGCAAGAATTGTAGCCAGTGGATTCACATGGTTTTCGAGGCTTGAAACATATATCTGCTTTACTCTCGAACTCGACTCTGACGATCGGAATTTCCAAATCGATATACCAGGGAGCATCAGTTATCATTCTTAGAATCTTAGCTTGAACTCTGCAGGATTTCTACGCTTGGCGAACAGACATTACCAGGTGTAAGCCATACATCCAGATTGGCTTAATGATTTGGTTGTATAACAACATTTTATACTCTAAACATGAGACTGATGTCCGTTTAGTCAGCGAAGGCTTATAGCCTTCAGCTTTATTTGAATCCTGCTTGTTTCGATATGGTTTCGTCAAGTTAAGCGTTTGTCAAGGTGAATATCAAGATACGATTTTAATTCGCCATAGTAACAACCATCTTTTTACGAATCACAAATGAATTTGCAGTTGACTGGAAGCGATTGTGGTATTTTTATATCGGCACAAAATAAACTTATCGTCAGCAAATGTTGATGTTACTAAATTGATATTAGTGAAGAAATCCGACGTAAAGATGAGGTACAAGAATGGAACAAGAATGCTGCCTTGAGAAACACCTGCACTTATTGGGACGGCTATAGTTGTGTGCGACCTGTATCTTACTCTGAAAGATCTGTATACCAAGTACGATTCAAGTACTGCATGTGAGTTTTGCTGGAGTATCTGTCGTATTTCGTAGATCAGGCCCCCACCTGTATCTTACTCCGAAAGATCTGTATACCAAGTACGATTCAAATACTGCATGTGAGTTTTGCTGGAGTATCTGTCGTATTTCGTGGATCAGACCCTCACTGATGTAGAAATTCTGCAACGATTTCAATCTAGCACGCAAATCCGCTAAAGTGGCACTAACCAATGTATGCATAAATATCTGGATGTCCTTTATATACTGGACAAACTGAAACAAAGGATATTTGAAGACTTAAGAAGCGATACATCTTTTCTCAATCATCGTATAGGATACTAGTTGGAACTATGACTCAGAATTTACTTCGTGATAGGTTTTTAGAAAATTTCAGTATATTTTTTATCTTATTTAGAAGTCATGATACATTAATAATGAATATGTTCTTTTAATTAATTTTTAGAGCGAGTTTCAGCCACTTAAGTCCCAACTGGTTACGTGTGTGATACTAACAAATGGACGTAATATATAATCTGAGTACTAATAAGCTGAATTTATTGCTAGACATATTGTTTACTTTCTTTTTGATTTCGAACTCTGAAAAAAATTTTTAAATATACAAATGGACCGAATCATTTGCATGCCCGATTCCATAGTTATATAAATCTATGGAATACAAAGATTCTATCTTCTCAGCATAGAAGCCAGAAAATCTGTGTAATATAACCAATAAATAAAGCTATTAATTGAGGCATGCAATTTACCTAAACACTTTTCCTGCGTTTCTCCGGTTGAGAACTATAGATGTCAATAGCTTTAGCAATGTTTATTAGTGCAGATATAATGATATTTTAAAAATATTACTTATCACTACTCAATGCCATTTGTTTCACTATGAAAGAAGAACATAGCTTCACCGATTAGAGTTTCTAGAGTTTATCAAGTATCTACAACTCTTATATAGTTACTTCCTAATTATTTGGTCTATTCTGAATTTCATCTAAACGAAAATGGTAGTCGGGAATGACTTTTAATAAACAATATCTTCATTAAACATTTAAATTATACTACATACATATATGATTCATTATAAATATATTTCTATTTATATATTCTGTTTATAACCATTGAACCCATTGAAATCTGATAAAAATATGGTTTTATGTAATGTTTATAAAATCTATTAAAACTTTAGTCAAGGTTTACAAACTGAAGACAAAAAAGTGCATATCTACATTCAATGCATTATTCAGTTTAGTTATAAAAAAGTTGTTCCAAAAAATATACAAACATGTTTTCAATATATTTGAATATAGTGTTATAACATTATATCAGTATTATCATACTGAGGCTAGTTGAGTCAGTGCACTTAAGCACTTTTAGTCTCTGTTAACTGCGAGGTTTCTTCAAAATCCCTCTTTGCGCCTTGACTAGATTATTGTTTATCACTTCATCAGACTAAGCAATAATATAATTTGTATGACATGTTGGCATCAAAACAGATGAGCGAAGTCATGAGTAGAAGATCTTCGGTAAAAGCACATAGTGTGCACCGCCATATATATGCGTGACAGGTAACTGTTTAGCACTTGACTATATCCAGACCTCAATTACAATAAGACAATTCTTATTGCATATGACAGGTTTTTTCTATCCAAAAAGATTTTAGACAAAGACCTGTAGAAAATACTGTAGTAAACGCTTGGAATATATTTCCTTGGTATGGAGTAAAAAAAGTCCTTGACAATATTCGAATTAACTATAATGGCGTTCGAATGTCCATTTGTGTTACACTAGAAAACAAAAGCTTTTGGAAATACTTTCTTATGCTTGTATACAGAAAATTTTTTGGAATCCTCATTAGACTGATATTACTTGAACAAGATATTACTTGCTACGCCATCTGCTGTGTGTAAATATGTTTTGTCAAGACTGCAGTTTATTTCAGTACATCTTGTAGAACTGTGGTGTCCATACCGAAGTGATTTAAACCGTCATTAATTTATGTGTTCCAGGAGCAGTATGAGCGCTGGTTCAAATTTTCAGTCCATTGCAAGAAACTGTGTTCTGTGCGACGAACGAACTCATGCTATCTATAACTATAGATATTACTTATTACTTGTCTTACTACCCTCATCAGTTATTAACGTTGCTTAAAGCACAATAATTATTGCAGCGTCAAGATTTCTATTTCTGGGACACCCTGATTTATCACGAAATTCTAATATAGACACCTAATGTTAGCAATTTTTTCCACTAAGTCGATGTCTGTAATTGGTATATGCAATTTTTACATCAAAATACAAACTATATGGAATGTTGATGGTTTTTATGTGTTCATTCCTACAAAAAAAACCTTGATATCTGAAGAACTTAACTCAAATTGGTATATACAATTTTTATATTGATAACATAAACAAACTATTTGGCGTGTCTATTTAGAGAACTAAGCTATATTGATATGTAGAGTAGTGAGAAAAACTACTTGAAAGAAGCGATTTTACTTTAATTTCTAGACAAATCGGGGCACCCCAGAGAGAGAAATCGTGTTTTAAGATGTACATACATACATAATTTATTGGTACTTTGAAATACTTAAACACTGATTGTGTTTAAGAGTTTGAATTATATAAAGTGATATAACTTTGACTCATTTTTAAACAAACCCGCGAAATTTTTAAATAATGTTACTACAAATTCTCTCTGAAATCGGTGATGATAAATCAAATTAATAAAATCTATTGTCATCTTCTTGGATAAACTTTTCGCAAAAATTGTTATTACTGTGTGTTGACCGTAGTATAGTATCAATTACTTATATATTTTGAAAATACTTTAATGCTTTTTTATTATACTATAATTATTGATAAAAAAAATCGTTTATTACCGACAGATGCGGTGTTAGATGTTAGGAACTTTAGGAACATATATCTTAAAGCCTTAACTACACTTACCAGATACTTAAAAAAATGATTTATTGTGTCTCTTATCGATAAATGGTATCTAATCGACGGTATAAAGTAACTTATCCGGTATATCTTATATATATATTTCTTCTGTGCGTGTGTTGACAGTGAACTCCTCCTAAACGGCTGAACCGATTTTGATGAAATTTTTTGTGTGTGTTCAAGTGGATTGAAGGAAGGTTTAGATTCACAATTTGGCCCACTGGATAATGTCTTTTTAATTAATTTTTTATTTTTTGGTATCCATACACATTTATATTAGAAATTTAAAATTGATTCATGCTTACTTTGATTTGTTTAAAAAGTTTAAAATCTCTAAAATGAATCGTAAAACTGCCGTTGCATAGCTTAAATGCATTTAAATTCCGCAGTATAATTATAGGTGAGCCAATTTTTAATCTTAAGTTATGTGGTGGTATTCCTGGTAAATCCAGCGAATTCAAAAATTCAACACACAAAAAAGAAGAATTATATATATGAAGATATAAATAACGTACAAAAAACAATGCCACGTCTTCGTGGACGAGGAGGAAATATTTGTCGACGGACTCGGAATTCACAATTACTCCAGAACCGTCGGTTAAATAGATCGGCAGAAAACAATGAAAATGTAAGAAACCAGGATACAATCACACGTGCTAATGAAAGTCAAAAGCAACGCAACGAACGCCAGGAAAATTAATTGCAAGGGGAAACAACGTTCGCTGGGTCAGCTAGTTAAAGTATATAATTTAAAGGAAGTGTATTCGAATGTCTATATAGTATCCAGTATCATACTCACAGTTTCAGTCACTACAACTCCTGCTGAA